GGTAAGCTGTTTTCAAAAATGATATACAAAATTTTCAGTGGGTTTTCTTTTTTTGCGCAACGTAGGCAAGTTTAAAATAGGCGTAAACTGGTCGAAGGCCCGATGGAAATTATGCAAATTAGGGTATTTTTAAAACGTTCGTACAAAAAAAGCGAAAGCTGGTGTATGGTTTGTTACACATATTTCAAAGTTACTTTCAAGCAATATTACTTTTATCTTAATCTAGGCTTTCTTTACCTATTTCTCCCACCCAAGCAAAGAAGGTAATGTTTCGTAGTTTCTTGACACCACGAATCTTATCATGTTTCAGAGTGTTATAAGATCAAGGGCAAATTTAGCGGCTGTGAAGGGGTTCTCTTCCAGAACTACTATTCCTGTTTGTCATTCGAAAATCGTGTTTATGGCTCGCTAAAAGGATGCGCGCTAGACGAAAATATATACGTGCAATTTGACTCATTTCTCCATTCCATGTAGCAGTCAATTCCAAAACTGCCTTTCCCCACCCCCTCAACAGGGCATTTCCCGGGCATTAGACTAGCGTTTTGCTCCGTACAGTGGGGAATTCAACCCAAAATGAGGCCCGCCCGGTGGGGCATTTAATTTTATTGTCAAAACGATGGTCAGCGTCGCAAGCAAAAGGATTTCGTAATTCTTTAAAAAAGTCCGTTAAATGTGGACTTTCTGAAGTGAAGAATTTTATTAAAATGGAAAACCTCCGTAAGACAGATTTAAGAGACTTTAGATAATTCGGTTGCGTTTAGTAGGATATTTAAATTGAATAAACGGTTTTGACGCATGGGAAAATTTTTGCGGTACTCGCTTGTGGGTGGAGGGTTGGCCCCCTTTCGAAGCGCTAGCCTGTGGGGCATTTGACCAGCTAAACTGCCTAAATACCAGGGAATTTGACCAAAATTTTTCAAAAAGCTCAAATGCCCGTGGGTCTGCCCGGGGGGGGATGGGCTGTTTTAGAATTGACCGGTACATTACCTCCTTTTGCTCGTTGCTCTCTTACCGTGCTGATTCACACTTTTTACTTAGTACAACTTCGTGTTAAGTTTCTATTATAACATTTTATTCAAATTTAGACTGCAACAGCCCCTGACAAGAATATAATGTTAAATACACTCACTGCGACAAACTTTTGGATGTTAATTGCTGGGAGCATTGACTCGCAGCAGCACAATTTGAGATTTCCCGTGCGGGGCCTGGGCACTATAAATATGCGTTCATCCCTCGATTCTTCCACCAGGATTTTATTTGAGACGGATGGATGATCTGTTTCGTGAACGTTTGGGGCCCGGGTACTTTTTCCCTCGATCCGTTCACTAATTGACACTAATTGAAGAAGAGTGGGTACTGCACTTTTGCAATGTCTCCTTCAAACGTTGCTACGATGAATCCCTTTTGAGGCTTTCGTTCAATTTTCTTAAAGTTTAAACCTATTGATAAGTGTTTATAGGATAGCTGTTTTTCAGATTGTTATTTCTACCTAGTACTTCCTGATTACTTGGATGGTTTGGAAATACAAATAAAACAGAATGTGGGCAACAGGACCGACAGTTTTCAGGTTAGGTGACGCCAAGAGCGATCAAGGGGCTGAAAATTTTGATCACTCGTTGTTTACATTAGTTTGTACACCTTATTAGAAATCACCAGAGCACCAAACCGGATGTATTAAAATGGCCTGCTTTGTAAAAGTCAGGTTCCTTTGGTAAAAACTATCAGTAATAAAGGAACAAAAGTGGTTGTACAAACGACAGCAAAGTTCCTGATCAGAAAAATGTGTTACTAGCAACTTTAGTTGAAGAAAGAAAGTAGAGAAAAATTGTGAAAGTGCACGCTTTTGGTGGGCCAAAAACAAGACTTTAGTATGACAAACATAGAAAGAATCTTTCAGTCAAAAGAATCTTTCACAGTCACTAAATTTATATACCTTATCAACTTCTAAATATGGTAAAATTCACTTTCTCAACAAAGCACGAAAGATTTATTTTACCTTCTTTGCTCGGGTGAAAAAAAAAAAAAGAGAGAAAGCTTAGACAAAGATAAAATATGAACTTGAAAAATAACTTTGAGAAAAAAGTGTGTAACAAACCGTGTAAAGATGAAGTATGGTCAAGCTTTCTTTCCCTTTTCTTTTTTTTCGCAGAAGCGTTTTGAAAATGCTCTGATTTGCAGAACTTCCATCGGGCGACCATGTTTACGCCGATATTAAACTTTTCTATTTTTCACATTTTTCTCGCTGAAACTTTTGAATATCAATTTTGAAAATAGTTTGCCAAAAGAGTATTCTTTGGTGAAAACATTAAAAAACAAATCGAATTTTTTGTTATGACGCTAGTTTCTCGGTAAAGGTATACTGACAACGTTTCTTAAGGTATCGGATACACACGTGAAGGGCAGGCAATTTGACCCGATTTGGATTGGATATTCAGCAACCTGGATTCCCTATTCGACTCGTTGGCGGGACTCTGGATTACTATAGCCGGATTCCAGATTCCAAAGCCCAGGATTCCGGATTTCACAAGCAAGGATTTCCGGATCCGGAATCCGGATAACCTTCAGGGTCATTTTTTCCCCGTTATTTTTGACTTTGCTATTGAGTCAGAGGCTATGAGGCGAGAGGAATAATTGTTTTAGTAAAATCCAACTAGCTGGTGAAAAATATCGAGATTAAAAATCGTTTAGCTAGTTGAAGCTAGACTTTAATCATTTTTTGCCGCCATAAAGCGCGCGCTTTTCGCTACTAGTAGGCTATAACATATAGCCTAGTAGTAGCTCAACCAATCAGAACGCAGTATTGATAATAGACCACTAGTTGGATTTTACTAAAACTGATTATCCCACTTCATGCCTAATAGAGGAAACTCGGACGGGTGAATCGGGATGATCCTGAACTCGCATTTAATATCCGTTTTGGCCACAAAGCAACCAGCCCCTAATTATTACCCCAATGGCATCAGAAATTGAAGCGTAGCGAACCGAGGAGTTTGTGTCAGGTATGAAATCATTCTTTGACGTGCCCTTGGGGTAAGATAAGTGTTGCATTAAACGAAATTCTTAAGGGTTTTTTTTTGGGAACAATGACCAAAGGGGAACAAACAAATTTGGGAAAAGGGGCGCTTAGGAAAGGACCAATGATAATTCTCCCGGCCTCGCACTCTTTACGTAGTTTAAGGTGTACGACTTGTGGCTGTTCGAAAGCGCTTTTAAGATTAGGAGACTGTGACGCGCCCCTCTCCCCGACAAATCCGACGCCAAAACCAAAAGTAAAGCCATTAACTAAATATAGGAGAAGTGAAGCGTTGTAGCCATTTAGAAGAAAATTAAGCCGATCTTCCTCTACGGGTGCGCTTGTGACGCCACGTTTGAAATGTTGGCTTTGACGAGGTTTCCTTTGGGTTCACTGAGAGAAGACTGTGCGGCAGGGTGTTTTGAGCCACACTTGATACACACGTGACTGTTCAAACTGGCATCCAGTGCACACCTTTCCAGGATGAAATACGCTAACAAGTGCCTTTTGGAAAGGACTGGGGACGGGAGCGCATTGGTCCTTTGTCCGAAGAAAACGAAAAATTAGTTACTGCTTTAAGTCAAAGTTCCCAATGGATGGCATCCCAGGGATATTGTTCAGGGGCTGATTTCCGGATGAAACGAAAATGTTCGTTACAGTAAATCCTGTCACCTGGTCTGGCTGCAATAGCGCGAACAATTTAGCACATACTTCACCAACCTGGGCCAGTGTCGGTAGCTTGTTTTTCGGAATAAGTAGCAACAAAGATATTAAAGGCGGAAAGCCACCGTTTCAAAGCACGCAAAGACAGGCTCACCCGTTCTCAAATGTCCAGGGTTGTTTAAAAGGCTACAATCATTGACAAAAGTCTTAGGACACTTTTGCATGTCTGAGACGTTTTCCAATTCACACAGGTCTAACCCCTCCCCTCACCATACAAACAATGTTGGACGCGTGTATCAAGAATTTGGTCCGAGTTTCAACTTCATATAGGGTATGCTACTGAAATTATTATCATAAAGGAAATAAAGGGAGATGTAAAGAATCAACCATAAGTACGGTGTTCGAGGAGTATCACAAATAAAATTAACTATGTCTGATTCTTTTCTTGTCTTCTATGATTTTTATATCTTGTCTATGATTAAAAGAAAAAATCCTTTTCGTTTTTATTGTGTCATTTTGATTTTAAATTTGTCGCGTTTGATTTCTCCAATAACAATTTTGATTTTGAAAGTTTGTCGCGTTTGATTTCTCAAACGCATTTTTTATTTCCAAAATTTGACGCGTTTGATTTCTAAAATTTGGCGCGTTTGATTTCTCAAATGACACTTTTGATTTCCAAAATTTGTCGCGTTTGATTTCTCAAATTTGACGCGTTTGATTTCTCAAATGACACTTTTGATTTCCAAAATTTGTCGCGTTTGATTTCTCAAATGACACTTTTGATTTCCAAAATTAGACGCGTTTTGATTTCTCAAATGACACTTTTGATTTCCAAAATTTGTCGCGTTTGATTTCTCAAATGACACTTTTGATTTCCAAAATTTGTCGCGTTTGATTTCTCAAATGACACTCGAGTTTGATTTCCAAAATTTCTCGCTTTCTATTACTAAATGAACGCTTATGTTTTCAAGTGTGTTGAGTATGCTGTCTGAAATGCGTGCTTGATTGTTAATCTTTTCCCAACCGATATCTTAAACAAATGTTTGATTTCCAAAATCAGGTCCTTTGATTTCCCAAATGGTGTTTCTGATTTCGAAAATAGTATAATGAGATAGATATCTACCCACGTGACAGGTTAAGTGGGTGCAATGCCCCCTCATGGGGAAATAATAGCCTCAACCAGATTGTAGCATTCAGCGGTTTTGGTGAAAACAAGGGTCAGTGGGTCGGAATGCTCAGTCTCGCGGGCTCATAAAACCTGGGCTCGGTCACAGTTACTTAAGGATTTTTCATTTAAGGCCGGGGACATTCAGTTCTACTGATCATGGCAGAACGAGATAGAGAGGGCGTTTTTCGAGGAAGTTGTATCAACCACCCGCCTCACAGATTTGGCGGCTGTGAAAGGTTCGTTTTGGGTGATGGAACGTCCAAGTGCAGGACATGCAGCTGCGTTGCACGTTCCCACGTAAGTACCAGGCATTTCATAGGCTGAATTCGTGTAGACCGGTACCTCAAATAATTATTCGTCTGTCCTACAAGGGGCTTTAACCAGGTCTTGGAATTTAAACTAATTACTTGGACCGATTCCCTCTTTCGCGCACAGTATGTTCCGAGATCTGAAACACTGATTTTTTAAATTATGTTTTTTCTGTCAGTTTCTTTGGACACTTTTTGTGATCTCACATATACACCCAGTGTGCAACTCCATTTTTTAGTTATGCCATCCTGCTCAGTCTAAAAACTAAAACAAAAAACAAAAACAAAAAAACAGGTAATCAGACCAAGTGATCTGGCAAAAAATTAATGGTAGAGGTAGGGCGTCTGTAAAATGAGTAAATTTAAATGCGAAGCTGTTTGGGGTCGCTCTCAAACACGCTAAGTACTTAAAAATTTAATCTGTTGTAAAAATCCCTAAGTCCTACTCATCTTTGGTTAAAATTTTCACTCCAATCTTCAAAACCGCATCATCGAAGACCTACCATACCCCCAAAAAATGAAAATCACTGCGGAAAAATTTAAACCCAATCACATACAAGTCTTGTAATAAAAGTAGTTTAAGAGAGGCACGTGGAGTTTCGAAATTTTGTCACTTTACACCGTCAAAAATTTTCGAGACCCGACACTTGTTCCACTTGATCAATCGTTTCAAATAGATTTAGGGACGGATAATTGGATATGTTGTCAGGCGACGGGTAGGCTTAAGCCTAGTGATTTTGTTTTAAAGGGTGTTAAAGGGTATATGTTACGAGGAGATTGCTGTTTTAGGCCAATCCTATGCAGTGTATTTACCCTTACACAAAATGCTTCTGTCGACAAATTTATCAAACAATTTTCATTTGGGAACACTGGCCAGAATAATTTTGGGGATGCCTTTTTTTGCAGGCATAGGTTTAAAACTCAAGATAGTTAGCCACTCACTCATGCCACCTGTTGCCATCCATTGCAACAGATAGCATGGGCAGGAAATAATTTCAATGCCTATATAATACCGTAGATCCCCTCAAGTACCTTTGACGGGGCACGTAAATGTAACAGAGAAGGGGGTGCTTATTGGCGGTGGGGGTTGGTAATTTACTGAAGTGGAGCATCATACTGCGCGTTTAGTTTTCTTTTTAGGTTTCTTTTTGCTTTTTTTTATAGAGTTGCGCCTGTTAAGCATTTCTGGTTTAGGAGGATTCGCTAATTCTAGTATAGCTGGAATTTTAGAAAAATTAGCTCCACTCCCCTTGGCAAGGCAATTTCGTCACTTACAGCAAGATGGCTTATCAGGTCATCACTACAAAAAAGAAAAAAAACACCCCGTGTGAAAACCGGGGGGGTTTCGACAAAGTTTTATACCGGGAGGTTCTGCCCCGAGGTCCAATCCCTGATATACCTCTTTTAGTTACCCCTTTCGTGCACCTTCTATTGAGAATACTCGTTGTTGACATACCTTGATTAGAACTTTGCATCGACTTTATAAAGCCATAAAATTCACCTGTTAGCCCTTCTGGGCCCTTTCACGGACCCAAATGACAGATGTCTCTTCCCTTTCTTAAAATACTTCAACTAGTGAAATCCCTACCTTTTCATATACCTGAAGCCTGAAAAAGATACTCTTTCCGCAGAAGCCTCCCCGTATAGGCCATTATAGGGAGTATCCCCTCCCCCAGGTGTAGAAAGAACTGGCATAGAGCGTGAACAAGTCGTTAACATACTTAGCGCAAACATCATATTCGGACTAAGTCCCATTCCTCGCACATGTCATAATTTTTTTTTCGGTTACAGTAGGTAACGTTGTCGTTGTCGAGGAAACAGATCTTTTCTTGATTAATGCTCTCGATACCGTAGCCGCTTACGAAAATGCTATTGTCATACTCAGGTTGCCTTTGGTCCCTGTACCCGACACAGCTGTGGCGGGTATGATGAACTACCGAGTGTCTCAGGAGAATGTTGTAATTGTGGGTGTGTGCCATCAAAGCATCGAGGTGATTATCTTCTCTTTAAATGTTTTCAAAACATAGCCAAAGTCTTAAAGTGTTAACGATGCTGACAGTTTCGATGACTGTCAGCCATTTTTGTTAAAACTTGGAAATCGTTAAAAGTGTCAGAAGCCTTAAATAGGCTTCTGAAGGTGTTAATTATTGCGATAAACGCGCCAAGTCACTCGGTAGACGCCCCCGCCCCTGGTTTGGGGGTGGAGATCACTTGTGTCCATATGGGAGAAAGCTGATAGGCTCCCTCGTCCCTGTTCATAGTAGGAGTGTTCGATCTAATACATATGCTTTCCTAAAATTATCTTCTACAATTGAATTAAGACAACTGCACAAATGTAATTCCACATCTCTTGTTTTATTTTATTTATAAAAGCTGGTATTATTAAAGAGTATAGTTACTTTTATAATTAATTTGTTGTTTTTTTTTTTTCATATATATTGGATAAATAGTGTAAGTGATTAAAGGCAGCATTGATTAACGGCAGTATCGTAGTGTATCGTGTATACTAATCCCATGTATTATAACGTTGTTCAGTGGTAGAAGTTTGTTATTAAAAAGAAAATACAAACTCAAATAAAATAGAGGGGATGTATGAAAGGCTGCGCGTAAAGGTAGCAAGGGACCCATCTTTACATGAACGCGCGACCTTTCATACATTGCCTCTGCTTTATTTGCGCTCGTTAAAAAACGGAATGTTGAGAGTTTTTGTAAGAATGTCTCCTATAATGTGGTCATTCTTCCAAATCGGATGCAAATATAGTACCATATAAAACATGATAAAAGTTACGTTAGAATGACCACACACTTTTTCTCTCCTCGACGCTTATTTGTTTTTTTTTTTTGTTCTGTTTGTCATCAGCTATCACGACGTCAAGCTCGCAGCCCCTAGAAAAACGTGGTACTGTGAAAGGTTTTACTTCCCAAATTTAATTTAATTTAGGTCCAACGGTTGCGAGAAAGGCGGATGTGGAAAAAAGGGCACGCGACAGTCCTGAAGAGGCATTGTGGGTCATTTTGAGACATTTGAAAGAATGGCACGAGAGGCATTGAAACACCGGAAATGATCGATTAAGCGCCGCATCTTTACCGAGGATAATCCATTAGGCGGTGCTGGGCGCGTTGAATTTACTCTTGAACCGAGTTTTTATAACAGTTCGAGGTTTACTTATAGTATAATAAATTATGCATTCCTAGTACTCGCTTCATTTATTTCTCTCTCAGTGTTTTACCCGTTGTTGAAATAGCACCGCTGTCGTTTAAGGTAAAATGAAGTAAGCGCCTGTTTGCGAATGCTAAAGGAATGCAGCAATAGAACATTCAACGGGTAACAGTGTCAGGAACAGCGTTTTGATTATATCCCATGAAACCTTTTTAATTGTCGCTGGCACATTTTCTCAGCGTTTGTCGAAGTAGTTGTATATACCTCACTTTACCCGTTGTAGCGTATGCAGAGAAATTTATTATGCACTGATTTCTATATGTATTTTTGATTGTCGTAGCTGCCACTGGAACCCAGCTATCGTCGTCTACTTCAACTCCCTCCACAACTTTCACATTCGAAGGTAATTCTAATGTAAATTGTTACTCCCAATGTAATACAGTTCATTCATTATTGGAGAGGATAGTATATTTCAGTATATTGCTTTGCTATAGGAATGAACCTAACAGGTGTCAATAAAACATAGTTAGCGGTCCATGTTCTCCACACAGATCAATCAGAAAGGACCGACGAGGAAGGAAGAAGATGGAAGCACATTCAGCAATTGGCAAAAGCAAAGAGAAACGAGCAGCTTGATGCGAATCCACCAAAGCGACAATGTCGCAAGCCGGGTGGTGGTCGTGGCGGACCAAGGCCAAATTCCGGACGGAAAAAAAGCATCCCTAAAGTGAGTTATTGGGTTTGAAAAAGTTTATCAACTTTCCCGTTAATGATGGTAGCGAGTGGAGTGGTCTAATTGGCGACAATGAAAAGACCATGTGTGTGTTGTGTAGTGCGTTCCATTTTTCAAATTATATGTGGTTAGGCGTCCTCACGAGCTTTCATCAGTTCATGCTGCTGAAACAGATAAGCAGGCCTGGACCTATTTATCCTTTCTTCCCTGCCGTTTTCGCCAAATTTGAGGTAGGATTGAGATGTTCATTTTGCCTCTGACATGCTTTCAACCAAGGTTTGGCGTACTGTAATATAACCATTTTTATTTTGAGGCGTCGAGAGTAAAATTCTACACAAGTCTCTTTAAAATGCTAATTGGGGAAATTAAAATTTACCTTTACAGGAAATAACAGCGACCCCTGTAAAACTTGTATCCCGTCGTTTGGGCAAGTACCAGGCGAATGGACCTAAAGAATTTGTGAGTAGTCGAAAAATGTTAACCGGATATTATTATTGTTCGCTTTATGGGCATAAGGAAGCATTTACTTGGAACATTGTACAAAAGATCCACACCGCGTATAGTCATCTCTAATCATTCAGCGTTTAATTATTATACTATACACTACTGGGTACATAATAATTTCGTCAACCTTGTCAAAAGGAGACCAGTCTCCAAGCCGAGGTGCCCCTGATAAAATCAGGGTGGGCGGCTAATCGGCAGTCGCTCCCGATACCTCGACAATCTGCGGCTTTGTACCACAGGAACACCAAGATTAGGATGTGTTCTGACGAACGCGAATAAAAAACATATAGTCTCGAGTGCATCTATCGTGCACACACAAACAAAGTGATAACGATAGACAAGATGACCGACTAACACAATAGGTGCATGGTATGGACTGACTTGCGTTGTAAACCACTCTTGTGCCGTGTGATAGCTTTTAAACATATAAAGGTATTGATCCGCACTTTGCAGGTATCTTTGAGCGGTGTGGAAACTGGCACATCTGAAGGGCTGACTCTCCAGACCCTGGAGAATGTCATGCTTGGGCACTTCTTGGGGCTTACAAGAGAGCAGGCTGTGGATCGCTACCAGTTTTACATCCTCAAGACGCTTCGGGGACCAAAACTGACTATGGATAGTCATATCACGGGGAAACAGTTCTATTTCTACTGGAGAGCTGGAGTGGAAATGGTAAAAAGGCGGTTGGCTTGCTATATTTTCATTTTATTCAAGTACTTTTCTAGGGAAATCGATCGAGAAAAGTGCGAGTTATCCGTAGTTGAAAGCAAGTGACCGAAAATAAGGAAATAGATAAATGGGATGGGGCTGGAAATGCAAGTATCATGCACACTTCACTTCAAGAGCAATGACAACAACAACAAAACTTTATTAATAAACAAATAAAATTACAGAAGTATTGCCGGTAGCTAGTAAGGCTTTTGGAGGCTGGAAAAGGAAAGTTTACAGTTTACAAATAAAGAAAATAAAAATCGTAATATGAAGGAGGACTAGATAGCAGACTAAAAAAACAAAAAAGAATTGAACTACTTAGTGGTAAAAGTAGAAACTAATAGGCAAGAATTTATTTTTCGACCTTTTTGGCTACTTTACCTTTTTAACTAAGGTGGGCGTATCAATATAACCAGTTTGGTACCGCGCTTGCCACATGTCGTCAGTGACTGGAATTTCTTCAGTTCATTCTTTAAATCTTGGATTTCTTTTCGTAACGCTTGCTTTTCTTTCTTTAGTTTCTCAGTTCCGGTGATAGTTGAGAAAAAGTTAAAATGTTTAGAAGAAATTTAATAAGAAACCGGAGTGATCGAGAAAAGGTCCTACATTGAGTAGGTTTCCTGTACCAGTCTCCCAGAGCAGCAACAGATATATTGATGTTACCGACAAAGGAATAAAGCAACAACGCTTTTTCAATATAAACTGGTAATCTCGACTGTGTTGTTGACTAGCTAGGATTCGATTAATAATAGTAAAAGTTTTTTGGCAAAACTAGGACATCTTTATGACAATGTGCCGAGACACTAGACTCTTAATTCAATTTTAACTACAAACAGTTAATATTATTGGAGACAAAGCATGTGACAAAAAGTGTCATTTGCTTCAGGATTCATCTGACGAGGAGGAAGCGATGCGCGATAGCCTGGATCCACTTCCAGAGCTGGAATCGGAGCCACTAACATCACTCTCGGCCTCAAATACTGCTGCTACCAACGCACCTCTGAGAAGTGTACGCAGTCCAGCGCCGTCCGTAGTGCTGAGCAAGAAAGCGACAGATCAGAGGCGCAGAGGTCAATTGAGAGGTTTAGCCCTGGCAGTGCCATCCTCGTTACCAGTCAGGCCATCCGCTGTGATCAACTTGGGAAAGTCGATCGCACTACCGCCAGTCAGGCAAACTGGTAGGAAAAGCAAAATTGTCGTATTTGGAAATGATACTTAACAACCAGAAACGTGGGGAAACAAAGAAAAGGCTTAGAATACAGGCCTCACTTAATTGCCTTGTCCTATTTCTTAAATAATATAATTAATAATGATGATATATCGCTTATGCCTTTTTTTTTTTTGCAATTTTCTCAACTTTTCGTTAATACTTCTTTTTTCAAGGGTCTTCCTTTGCCCGGAATGATTGAACGGTGCCCTCCAGGTCTGGCAACAATTCCCACCCTAAGTGGAAATTGTTAACGCGCGTCAAGATGCTGTTGTCGAAGGATCAGTCTCTAATTTGATTCTTTTCTCCTGCACGTTGTAGAATTACCAGTGGCAATTACATCGTTCACGATCGCCAGTGATTGGGGCTCCATAGAGACCGAAGGACCACTTCACTGCGTTCTAGACGTACAAGGATTTCCAGCCCAGCCGTTTGGATCTGGAACTTTTCAGAACGCCTTTAAGGCTACCTGCATCGTACCTAATAAATTTTTAGATTTGTCAGGAAGATACGTGTTGAAACAACAAAAACTGGAAGGTCCTTTGACCACTGAAGCGGTCGAAGATTTATCATCTGAGGACATGGACCTAATGGACGAGGAGAGCAGTAGGAAATCTGCCAAGGTACTATAGCCTGACATGCTATCTTTCAATGAATAGGTATATTACACGGACGACGACGTCCACTGAAAGAATACTTTAAAGTCCAGTCCGGAACATGGTTTGATCAGTGATTGAGTTTGGAACATGTTTAAAATCATCGCCGCCTTTTTAATGAGAAGGCTTACAGTTTGGCACTCAGTTAACGTTCTATTCTATCTTTGTCATGTTCAATCCCCAGGCCTGTCAGATTTCAGCTGTTGCTAATGCCCTTTGCCAACACTACAATTTGAAGTGCAGGCAGATACCTGATTACGGCGAAGAAATAAGGTAACGAGCAAATGTCTTTGTCAGGGGTTCAGACAGCTTCGGTATAGGTTTGCAGAAATGAAATCTGTACATAGAAAAGATGCTTAGACGCAGTAGGGATCAGAGAAGCCAGTGCTAGAAAGCCCGATAAGGAATCGTGAAGGTGGTGGCGGGGCCTCTTCCCGAAGAGGCATTTCAGAGATATTAAATCTTCAAATAATCGTGCCTTTTTTGAGAGTCCGGTTACAGCAGTATGTACCTCCGATGGCCATACATCTGGCATGGCTTATGCCTATTGTTTGGCTCGGACCCTTCATTCAGTTTTTGTGAGTGTTGTGAATTGTTTCTCTCTTTTTTAGGAAGAACCATCATTATTATGGCGAGATGAATTAAAATTTGTTCCAGTTTGTTTATAATTTTGCAAATACGCAATTTTAGGCTGTGTGTTGTGAATACCCCTTTCATATTGTATTAGGGTGTTACCATCACTATTTGTAAAGATGACCGGACAGTTTCCTTCTTGTGGGATTATGGAACACGAAATAGAGGGAACTTGGCAAAAATTCCTAAACAATGACGGACTGGACATGGGCGGCGAGGAGAACCAGTTCAAACTGAAGGCACTGGCGTTCGCACACTGGACTTTTTTTGTGACGTACAGGGTAAGTTGAAAATTTCCCCACTTTCAAGAGAACCAGTTCCAACACAGCAACTGATTCGCTTCTAAACAATCGACAGGGGCCAATTAAAGGAGACAGCTTCAAGCAGTTAATCGAGTTTAGTATAGTATTTCACGAGGAGTAATCCAGAAGTACCAATTAAATTAGCCAATGCTTGCCATTTCGACCATTTAGTCAACATAAACTTGTGCTTGTTAGGATATCTCCCTTACCATGTAAACACTTTTAAAACCTCTTTAGGAGCCGACTACACTTTGTCCGATCTGGAGATCGCTTCTACAGATGGGAGGTTCGTATGACTCATAAAATGAGACAGTAATACCTTTAGTTACAGTATTAGAGAGACTTCACTGAAAAATTGCAAAATGCTTCACCCCAATGAAATTAAGGGAATACAATAATATATTATTAATTAACGTTCTACTGGCGGAGTATTACAGAAAAGAGAAAAGTTCACAATTAAGAAGAGATACCCAAAAGCTATCTGTTTAACTATTTATGTGCCTTTTACTGACGAGACCTGAAAATTTTTATTAGGCTGTGAAACTAGTAGATGTCTAAGGTACACAGAGTTTAGATGTTGTCGCTTTTTGTTGTTGTAAGCTCTTATTACAATATCATATTGACGACTATGGCTGTTACCCATACATACATATACATGTGAAAATGTCAAGGTCAGTGATTTTTAATATCAGTTTACTGCAAATATATTTCGTTGTAGGTTATTCGGGATTGGCAATCTTTCCTGTACTGCGCTTGAGGGATTCAAGTCAAGCCACCAATGTAATGTGTATTGCATTGCATTGGAGTTGTCTGGTGAGTATATGCATGCTTCTTTTTACACTGGATCGAATCTTCCCATTGTTTATTCTTAGGAGACGAACGGCCCATGAAATGCTCTCAGAACTTAGACAAGTTAAATAACTTACATCTTTAAGATTTTTTAATTGTTTTCCATAATGAGGGGAAAAAAAACAAATAAAAAAACTATCAACTAGTCTTTCGAACTCCTTTCCCTTGACAGCTTTTGATAGATCAAGTAGAAAGGAAGAGAGCAATGGCAGTCAGGAGCGGCCTTTAGATCCGACAAGCCCCGAGGTAGGTGAGGAACTGAAACTATTGACTTACAAATTTCAGTCAAATGTCATAACTAAATAGAAATAACGTCCGAACAACGACCCTGATCAATCTATTTCTTGGCGGTAGCCGGCGCATATGAAAGGGAGAGGGGAAGTACCACTAAACATACTAGTTCCAAAAAAAGAGCGGGTACTTTTCACGCCCAAAACCTTTGAACACACCCTCGTTCGTTGTCGGCCTCGCATGCTGACGGAAAGACTTGACCAAAACCGAAGCCGCGCTTGAAAAGTCTATTACAACCCGGCGGGCTTACAACTAGGGTAATTTGAACTTGAAAGACAAGGAGATGTCATATGTAATGTTGTTTTTTCGAAATAAATGTTGTTTGTCACTAGAATGAAAGTACATGTGTAATTTCATATTTTGTTTCTTTATCTGTTAGGTTGTAACATTTCACCCGCGGCACGCAATAAATACACAAAATAATGAATAAATGGATTTTACAGGTGAGAACGTGTATACTCCGGCGCTGATCGTATTACGAACGGGATTTACTAGCTTCCGACAACTATTTTCAACCACCACACTTCAATAATTAACATAAATAACTAAACTTGATATCAGGCACTTGCTTCAGATTCCGCATACCCCAATTGCGAAGCGGGCCTCAATCTGTGAAGAAATTAATTTATCCCGGACCTCAATCCACTATATTGTGTTAAAATTCGTTCTCGTTCCCAGTCACCTCTGTTCCTTTAGCTGGCGAAGCAGGGGCAACTCCGGCGAGCAAAGTAAAGAGTCTCGGGACACACTAGATTCGTGGCCTTACGTTGTAGGACTAAGGTGTCGGCATATCCATCCATGAGCACTTTCAAAGCACTGGCCTTGCCAGCAAGTAACCTTGTTATCTAATTGTCTTTTGAAAGCTTCATGACATGACCTATATTTTAATTGCAATTGGAAAATTGCTAGAAAGCAAGAAAACAAGAATCCACTGGGGAGGAAAATGGATGAAAAGCAAAATGCAGTGAAATGTTTAATAGATCATTTATACGAAACAAATTATGACTGCTGTTTTCTTTTATTCTTAGGTGTTTTGGCTAAGTTCAGGCGAAGAGGACGGCCTTCCTTCCCTTACGACATTAATGGCATCGGCAAAGAAACGGGAAAGTCAAACTACCGGCATACAGCAGCATCTTCCAAACAACAAGTTGGACTGTGGGATTTGTTTAAGCAATAAAATTGACGTGATGTTTTATAAATGCGGCCATATATACTGCTGCGAGAACTGCGCCTTCAAGTTGAATGGGACTTGCCCCATATGTCGCCAAAAATATGATGAAATTGTCAAAATTTATCTGCGCTAATCTTAGTTATATATCAATCCCACGAACCATATACTACCTAATGAAGCGAAAAGGAGCTAAGAGACGAATCCTTCATACATGAGCCTCTTTAGTCTGCGAATACAGAATGTAAAACCACTGCTCTTCTGACGTGCGAATGAATACCGAATACCTATATTACTTAAAGATGCTGACCCTGTGTAGTCTGCCTTTAGGTTTTTTCAGTGTGTCAGTGTCCAACATTCGTTAGCTGTGAACGAGCCTAACGTTAGAAAATCTCAATCTCAATCTCCTCTAGTCTTAAATCAAATTTTGACGCCCATTGTCCGGCGGTACAAGTTACGTTTACTCCAAAGTAAATCACACGGGCCACTATCTCGGAGCCTGGAGCAGGCTAAGGTAGCGGCAGTGTACAGGAAGAGGCACAGAGTAATTTTTGGAGTGGATCATTTGAGATATTCTGAAAACATAAAATAAAGTTATCTTATCTTATCTTATCTTTAACATATTGTCTTAAATGTTGATACACAGTAGCTGCATTTGCAACTGTAACAGTGACCCCATGACTTCTGCACCAATTGCTGCTCACGGTTCGTACTTCATCTGGAATATAGTTGGGAAGAGGCCTTCCCAGGCCATGCTGTGTGGCAATCCGTTGCAGGTCATTATCTGATGGCACAAAACCTTCTTCCTGACCACCTTCAAAACAAAATGATATTGATATTATTGATATTAATATATATCAATTACAATGTACTTTACAGAGCCTTTCGCATACTTTGTGAATACTTTGACCGTGGATGCATGACTTATCTATCTAAAGGCCTATTACTTACCAAATCGCTCTGGGAAGTAGTACATGTCATCTGGTACGCCATCCGGTCTGAGTTTTCCCTTCTGTTTTCTGATTTTGTGGGCATTGTACGCCATTTTTAAATCCGCCAATTCCGTTTCCAGTAGTGGAATGTATACGTACAGCAATATCCATCTATGAATAGACAGGAGGTGCACTGAGAAAAAACAACAGTTGTGGAAGGTGCATGTAATACTAATCATGGCTAGTTCGTTCTTCCAGAAACACAACGCAAGTCAACATTATTAACTGCAGCAAGGATGACTAGACTCATTCTTGCTGTGGGTCCTTAACTTACCGGTCAATAATATCATCGCGCTCCCAAAGGCCACTCTCTCGAAGTGTCTGAGAAAAAAAATATGATTCAGTTTTAACTTTGATACAGTAATACTGCGGCACAAATACAATTACTAGTTGTCAGTGCACAGTCACTTCAAACATTTCTTACTTGAAGTTCATCGAGCCAGTACTGTGAGTTGTAACGGCGCTGACGAGACCACCAAGCCTCGATTGTCTAAGAGGAGATAAAAGATCATCGCATCGTGTCAATCAAGTGAAATTAATGAGCGAGGGCTTATTCGAGTACTCAAAGGAGTACCTGGCCTAACCTGATTGAGTTCTGAACGACCATTGTAGTGAGCATTATCAAATGCAAAGGCGTCTCTATGTTGCCTCCTGAGAAAGATCTGGCATTGGGCGAGAATGCACGCTTCTACACCATAGTCCGTTCTAGTCCTGACCGGAAACACTAAAAAAAGCCATTAAATCAGGGCGGGAAGATTTTAAAACCCAAAAAATAAATATCCTCGCAGTACCTTTTTCTTCCGTTATGAAATCAAAAAAATAAGAAGCGATCAAAGCCGGGTCCTTGTTGCTATTGTAAACCCTTAGCCAAAGCAAGCGTCGGGAGAAAGTATCCATAGCACCGTGGATGTAAATGCCAAATGCCTGGAACTTGTCATATCCATCGATAGACCAAACCCAGTTACTTCCCTGAAGGCCAAAAATCGCATTTATTTGTGTGTCGATATATCTAGCAACAAAGTGCTAATTAAGGGCATTATTTAGGTCGTAACAAAGGGAGTGCCTCCATTTCTCAGTTTTTAAGCTTATCCTGCCAAAATGCATAGCCATAGGCCAAATAACAATCTGACTAATAATACTCGTCAATAGAGTAATTTTTTCTTGATTTGACTTCACTAGTGATATACACACCTTTGAGAAAAATATACGTCGCTGTAAAACACGATGCCGCCTCTTCTGCAAACCATCATAATCAGTCAAAGTCATGATGCTATGAACTTGGTCTCTGTGGAAACAAGTAACAGGGTTGGTGCATCTAGCGCGTGCAAAAAGAAGCAGAAAACTAAAAATACACAAACAAACGACAGACACAAAAAAACTGAAACAAAAGCACCCCTTGTATATAGCAAACTGCTCTCCATATTAACTGGTATATAAATCCTATTTGTTTTCCTAGCCTTGGCATTTTGGTCTCCGTCCAACTAACACTAACCTTGTGACCAACAGATCATGATGCATTCGCAGCCTTAACTGCATTGTTCGAATTCCAACTAATTTCCTTGCACTATCAAGTTCAAACTGCAAATGAAAAAACTTCAGTTAGTCTCCTCCATGGCTGATTGGAGACTAGTCTACTCTACTGATAAAATACGTTAAACCCGACACGATTAATATAAAACCATTTTCTTTCAGCACTTTTTATTATTTAACCTGTATTGCATTCAGAACATCTATTGGACTCTCATCGCGATAGTATGTGATACCAAACTGAGCCATCTTTCTTTTCAGCGTGGGCACGCTAAGTTTGCAAAGAGAGGCAATAGATTTTAAAATTTCATCTCGTCTCTGTTCATCCCATAAGGTTCAAGTCTTTTCCCTTTAATTTAAAAATTACAAATTAAAACCATCGCGTAGTAGGACCGGGTTTGCGACGCAGATTAAGAACACTATATGTCGAATTTCAAAATGTAAATGAGCCGCTTCATTGTTGGAACTTACAGTACGATATTTTTATCGTGTGGCTTTGAAAAAAGGAAAAAAAAACATCGCAGCTTTAATTAATGGAGATCAAGAAAAGACAGTACATTTAGAGCAGGCAAAAGGGAATGCATATACCCGTCCACGTACCATTTATCAAAAATGGGTATACTAAATCATACCTTCACACTGCACCAAAACTTTTTGAGTGATACATAATGGTATGGGGTAGTGGACCACTCTCCCACGCAGCTCCTCCCGGATTTACAGATGGCGGATGATGTTGCGTGACCAGATATGAACCATTGAAATGGAATGACGGGGATAAAACTCTACCATTTATTAGGGACCGTTCATTTCTTAAATAATGAAGGGGGGGGGGGGCTAGTGGGATTCGACTGATAGCTCCTGTAGAACATGATGAGCGTCCCTCTTCATAAGACTTTTTTTGTGCGGCCCCCGCTTGTGTCGGAAATGGGATTCTGGTAGGCTACTTGAATTATATGCAAAAGTCATTTTGGGTGACGCCCCATTAAACCCAATGTTTTTTTCCTTCTAAATCCCACTTTTAAAGTCACATTTTTTTCATGCCCCCTCTCAAGTGCCACCAGCCCCCCCCTTCGCCTACCTGATAAACGATGAATGAACGAATAAATGAACGGTCCTTATATTTTAACAATAATTTTGACAATCGCTTACCTCCAGTTTATGCCAAAATCTTTCCAGACATATTGCCCGATCATATCAATGGTTTTTAAGGACCGCACATGATGTAGAAGGTACTCTCTTAGATCTAAAACAAAACGTGCAAATAGCGCTTCCCTTTATTTATCTTGTTTCGTTTACATGACGTTGAGAAAATGTCACGACTCCAAGATCGATACTCGGATCCGATGCTAACATGGAAGGTTATTAGGGCCATTTATACGAGGAAAAATAAGACGCGTCTTACATAAGACGCGTCTTACATAAGACGCGAACTGTACCATTTATACGAGCATGTCTTATCTGATAAGACGCGTCTTAGCTAAGCCGCGTCTTATTTTAGACGAAATGTGCCGTTTATACGGAAAGTTCGCGTCTTATTTAAGACGCGTCTTATTTTTCCTCGTATAAATGGCCCTATTGTTTACAAAAGATCCTGTTCATTGGTGGTAAATAATATTTCTTTTCTCACTCTAATTTTGATCGTATCAAACAGTTGTAAGCTTACATAAAACATCGAGCAATAAACGTACATAATAGTGACAGAACGTACCATTTTCACGAATTCCTTGGCCTGACATGGCAGCTAAACACGAGCAGAGAACAGAAGAGCCAAAGGTCACGTGTAAACTCATCAAACAAGTGGGCTACCCCCAGCTGGGAGACTAACGAAATTTTGGAAATCAAAAGTGGCACTTGAAAAATCAAAGGCGACAAATTTTGGAAATCAAAAGTGTCATTTGAGAAATCAAACGCGACAAATTTTGGAAATCAAAAGTGTCATTTGAGAAATCAAACGCGATAAATTTTGGAAATCAAAAGTGTCATTTGAGAAATCAAAACGCGTCTAATTTTGGAAATCAAAAGCGTCTTTTGAGAAATCAAACGCGACAAATTTTGGAAATCAAAAGTGTCATTTGAGAAATCAAACGCGATAAATTTTGGAAATCAAAAGTGTCATTTGAGAAATCAAAACGCGTCTAATTTTGGAAATCAAAAGCGTCTTTTGAGAAATCAAACGCGACAAATTTTGGAAATCAAAAGTGTCATTTGAGAAATCAAACGCGATAAATTTTGGAAATCAAAAGTGTCATTTGAGAAATCAAAACGCGTCTAATTTTGGAAATCAAAAGCGTCTTTTGAGAAATCAAACGCGACAAATTTTGGAAATCAAAAGTGTCATTTGAGAAATCAAACGCGATAAATTTTGGAAATCAAAAGTGTCATTTGAGAAATCAAAACGCGTCTAATTTTGGAAATCAAAAGCGTCTTTTAAGAAATCAAACGCGACAAATTTTGGAAATCAAAAGTGTCATTTGAGAAATCAAACGCGACAAATTTTGGAAATCAAAAGTGTCATTTGAGAAATCAAACGCGTCAAATTTTGGAAATCAAAAATGCATTTGAGAAATCAAACGCGACAAACTTTCAAAATCAAAATTGTTATTGGAGAAATCAAACGCGACAAATTTAAAATCAAAATGACACAATAAAAACGAAAAGGATTTTTCCTTTTAATCATAGACAAGATATCAAAATCATAGAAGACAAGAAAAGAATCAGACATAGTAAATTTTATTTGTGATACTCCTCGAACACCGTACATAAGAGGACAGAAAAAATCTGAGCCCCAGATGGGATTCGAACCCACGACCCTCCGTGTTCTATAGATCAGGTGCTCTAACCTCTGAGCTACTGAGGACTCGTTGGCGAGCAAGGGTCATTTTTGTGGGTTGGACTTGCGAACCGCATCGTGCAGTCACACAGTCCATCACAAGCATCACATTAAGGCTTAACTGTATCACACAGTCACATTAATAGTAAGAAATGTCTCACCCATGAGGGAGAACTGCAAGAAAATTTCGACAAGGATGCAGTTTCATGAGTGAAGCTAGAAATGACAGAAAAATATGAATATTGAACTGCTGTCCCAAAGACTTTTGTCCATGATTGTAGTTGTGGATAGGTAAAAATGAAGGTAGGATTGGCTTAGCAGGAAGTGGAACTACAACTCAGTAGTACACGTTGAGACGTTTATCAGTTTATAACATAATCAAAAGAGGACAACTTTTAATTTTCTTCACAGATAACAGGGGAATGACTTCAGCGCTGTCATATTCTGCTCGCGTCGTAGTGGCGTGTGCAAATATTTTTTTTCCGTAAAAAATCGTTTCCCTGAATAACTAGTTCTCCCGTCTAGATTTTACGTTATCGGTAAAGGTAAACGTTCTTCCAACATTAAGACTGCCGCCTGGCTAGTTCAGCTGTGAGAGCTCCGGTCTGCCGAGAGGTAGGTCGCGGGTTCAAACTCCTTCCAGACCAACACTCAGGGTCTCTAAATAACTGAGAAGAAAGTGCTACCTTTGTGACGACATCTGCAAATGGTTAGACTTTCTAGTCTTCTCGGATTCACTGATTTGTTCTTGTGGGACGTAAAGGAACCCACATCACTATTCGAAAAGAGTCGGGATCGAAGACCCCAGTGCTGTGGCCAGCCTTTAGGAGTTGTGGGATTGGATAGGATGGATGGCACCTCGCATGGGACCTGAGTTCCGATTCGTGCACATTCCTTCCGGGCAGGCCTGTGTACAGGAAAGCCGGTAAATAAATAAATAAGGAAAAAAAATAAAAAGATGACCCTGTCACATAATAAGCACTAGGACGACAATTATTTTCCTTAATTTCAGGTTAGATCAAGTCTTAGTCACGTAATATTTTGGGGGCAGAGGGATTAGGAGGGGGGGGCATTGTGGTCCTAGTTAAAATTAATGCCTACCTTTTCTCGTTTCCAAAAGGGTAACTTGCTTTTTCATATTATTTTATTCATATGTGGTAAAATTGATGGTACCCATTTTTCTTGTTTGTTTCTGAAACGATTAGCCCCTTCCCCTCAACTACAAAGTCAAATAATCATCCCTATCGGGGGCTGGGGGACGGGGGGGTGGACAGGACATGCAAAGTTTTGGGTTGGGTTATGCGTCCGCCATTTTGTCCTTTTAGGACGGAGACGACTTTCCACCGAAAACTTGATTGGCTCTGCCACAGGCAGCCCAATTTACTCATCATTTTCAACATGGTCTAGATAGCAGCAACAATATAGATAGTCGTATAAACATAAAAACTTTCTTTAATTTTCCCAGACATGTTTCGACGGTACATCCGTCATCTTCAGTGTCACATATTTTGAAATCGCCGTTGAATTTAAAGCGCGCGCGATCTTACAAAGTTCGTTACATTGCGTTGTCAATATTGCGTACTAAAACAAAGTTAAATGAGTGACGCTTAGTTCTTTACAGGGAGATAGTCAGGCTAATGTGTTTCACCTGCTGGTTGAGATCGGGCTTCTCCCATTTTATAAACATGGATTCCTGAAGCTTCACTTGGTACTTAGTGGCTGCAGAGTCCAGGATCTCGAAGCAATCCGGTGTGCAGGATGCTCTACAAAACTCTGAACCCTGCAGATGTTTAAAAACGTTCGAAGACCTGTCTGAAAGTAAGTGCTCGCGCACTCGTGTGGAGAAGTGTCGGCTGGTTTCAGCAACATAACAAGCATTACAACTTGCACACGAAAATTTATAGACCACACGCGTGCGTAGCCTCTCAGGGACAGCATCTTTCACATTAAAAAGATTTTCAACATCTAGGCATAATTTGATTGACATCATTATGACGTAATATTGTCGTTTTTATTGGCAGAATCCAAATTTTCCTCAAGAAACGCAAAAAATACTTAAAAAATAAGGTGTCTGATAAAGTCAAAAAGTTGGTTAACACAAAAAAATAATCCAACAGTCATGTCATGATGATGCCATCTATGGCTAAAAAGGAACTGGCATCATTCGACATCTTGGATCCGTCATTTTGAATTTATTACACGTAATTCATTTTACTTAAAATTTGAATAAATCGAGATAATCTTAATGGAAAATTTAATCTGCGTGTTAAAGGATGCTGAGGAAGTAAAACAATCTGGAAGTTATGAAATTCCGAGAGAAATAAACACTGTTGAAAATTATACCCAGCATCTGTCAATTACTCACGTAAATTCTTGTTTTTTCCTCAAAGTAGTCAGTAAAAGGCCTGGATTTATTTGACAGTTATACCAACTTTGATTTAAAAAAAAAATGTTATACTCGGTGTTTTATAATAATTCATTAACTAAGAAAAAGCTGAAATAGAACCTTAAGTTGTTCTAATAAAAATGCAATATTTGCTAAAGGTGGCTGACCAAACTCGTTTGCTGTGGTAACATCAATGTTAAAGTACACGTCACGTTGACTTTAAATCTTCCAAGATGGATTTTAGGAAAAGTCTCTAAGTTTGACAGTCATAACTTGAACGGTCCCTTATTCCTTGAACTTCTCAGCGAGAGGGTGCCGCAAAAGTCTCCCCCCCCCCCGGTTTGAAAACGGATGCTCGCATTTTGGAACAAATTTTCCCCAAGAATCCTAGCAACAGAAGGAAACTACAGAACTTTAAGATGACGAATTTTTAGAAAACATCATTGGATTGCTGCACAAAGCAAAAACAATTTGCTTGTTGCCACTTAACCGGTAGATATACTTTCAGTATAGTGCTTACGTTGGTTCTACCAATGCTTGCGGTAGTCTCAAGTTTGTTTGTCGCCATGTAAAAATTTTAAGGGTTACAGGCGATTATGCATAATATGAAGTAAGAATAATGCTTAAGAGCTAATCATTAGTTAAGTGTTTTTGTTATCCATTGTTTTCCTCTTTAGCGTTGGTAGCTTGCTTAACGGCTATCAGTTTGTACACAGGGGATTCCTCTTTTATTCCTCGGAAATCCAGGCAAGGTTTCCCATTTTTGCCAAGGTATGGAGCGAGATACTTCTGTAAACGCTCTTCAGTGACAAGCGAAAGATCAAATACACCGTGTGTAGTTGACGAGTGCCACTCCAAAAGACTCTCAATGGATTCAAAAGCAAATGGGACAAAAAAATGGTCATGTTTGACAATTTGAAATCCCGCTGATAAACAATAATGCTTGATATTGGTTTTGGACTCACATCGGTACATCT